CCTCAGTGCAAGCAGCGCGGTAACTAGCGTCGAGCGAGCGGAGGTGAGCGATCAAGTCAGCAGAGCGCTCAAACGAGGCGAGATCAGGAAACAGGAACGGGAGGAAAAGACGGCCAAGAGAGACAGTAGCGGGAGTAGAGTAGCGGGCCTTAATCGCAGTGAGGTACGCAGCAGCGGTGCGAACCTGAGTGAAGTGGACCTCCTCTGACTCAGGGAGGAGGCTGCTGAGTGCGATGCAGGCCGCAGCGTCACGCGACGTCCAAGCCGTCCTGTCAGCGCGCTGACGGGCAAAGCGAGCCGTAGCAGCATCGTCAGGGGCAGGACCTAAAGCGGCAGGCTCGGGGGGCTCGGGGAGGTCACCAGTAGCGTGCGACCAGAGGGTCTCGCCCCCCTGGACCTGACTCTCTAACAGACGGCGAGCGCGAAGAAGCCAGACGGAAAAGTCAAGAGGTCTACCGTCAGCGTCGAAACGAAGAACTCGCGGAGTCGCCATAGCGAGAACTAACGCGAACGAGCAGGCGAGTAACAGCAGGAGGTAAGAGGCAAATTAGGGTTCAGGTGGGGGGACTTAGTCGCAGCGGAAGAACGGGCTAGGGCGACGGGCCAGGGCGTAGGGTCGACGGGACGGGGGAAAGGGCGGGCGCGATGCGACGGGGCAGGGCGACGCGACGGGGCAGGGCGACGCGACGGAGCAGAGGCGACGGGACGGGGAAGGGCGACGCGACGGGGCAGGGCGACGCGACGGGGCAGGGCGACGGGACGGGGAAGGGCGACGGGACGGGGCAGGGCGACGGGACGGGGCAGGGCGACGCGACGGGGCAGGGCGACGGGACGGGGAAGGGCGACGGGACGGGGCAGGGCGACGGGACGGGGCAGGGCGACGCGACGGAGCAGAGGCGACGGGACGGGGAAGGGCGACGGGACGGGGCAGGGCGACGGGACGGGGCAGGGCGACGCGACGGAGCAGAGGCGACGGGACGGGGAAGGGCGACGGGACGGGGCAGGGCGACGGGACGGGGCAGGGCGACGGGACGGGGGGAAAGGGCGACGGGACGGGGGGAAAGGGCGCGACGCGACGGGGGGAAAGGGCGCGACGCGACGGGGGGAAAAGGGCGCGACTCGACTGGGGGGAAAAGGGCGCGACTCGACTGGGGGGAAAGGGCGCGACGCGACGGGGGGAAAGGGACGCGACGAGGGGGAAAGGGCGGGCAGGACGCGACGCTAGGAGTGGCGCTAGGCGCGGCACTACGCGCGGTAACAACGGAACCGGGACGAATGAGAGCTAGGATCAGGCTCGGGAGGCTCGAACGGAGAACGGAGGAACGGGATCCCACAGGATCCTAACCTAACTGATACCATGTCAGAATGAAGAATGGATGGTGCATTGATGTTGGTTGGGGTACATATAGCTAACCCTAAGTTTTGTACCCCCTAAGACAAACCTCACTATAGGCTACAACATTTGACAATAGGATCACCCCAAAAGGGGGGGTATAGTACCAACGGGGTCAAATATAACACCCCCCCCGCACAAGCTACCCGGGGGTGTACAATTCGGGGTGGGTGTTTTATCCGGGGGTATACGGTACGACTACTTTGAATCACCTGTATGGGGTATCTATTTTCCATTATCCATGCTGTTCACCCAAGTCCCTTGGGTGGGATCCTACATAGGGGAAAATACTTCAACAGCAGGACATCTCATTTCAGCATGCGAACAACTCAAGGAATTATGGTTGTACAATGTACAAACCACTTCAGTAATCAGTACAAGGGGACAGGCTGAATCGGCCCTAGAAAAACAAAACGAAGCTATCAATCCAAGAAGGAATAAAGAATGGAACAAGTTCTGCAATAGCAACCGATAAATCAATAGGCCAGCAGCATTGGGATGTTACTGCTGGCACCCAATTATGGTGAAGAGCAGACAGAGCAGTCAGGCTCCTGACAGCACCGTACTCAGCCTGACTGTACCGTACTCAGCACCGTACTCAGCACCGTACTCTTGCTCTTGCCTACGCAAAAAGAGACGAGCTTCTTCGATATCATAGTCAGATATGGATTACCGTAATACACCCCTTACCACCCCACTGTCCTGTCCCATTCCTTGCTATACCAGCTTGTCAAGGTCGAATCCGACCCCTGCCAACCCCTTCCAACCCATGCCAATGAATGCAAACCCTTGCCCTGAAACGCCTCAAAACCCAGCAGCAGCAGCCCTTTCCCCCCACCAGACTCCACACCCGTTTCACATCTGACTTCCCTTCTCCTCCCTCCCCAATTCTAGATTTCTCAAACCCAGCAGCACCACTGTCACACCTTACTAAATACCCCAACCGCCCTGACATTAGGCGTCTCAAAACCCAGCACCACTGCTCCCATCTCGAACCAGGCTCCCCACCCACCCCACATCCGTCTCCTGTACCTCCTCCCTCCCCGTCCCCACTACAAACTGCCCCCCTGCTGTTTTAGTATGGCCAAGTCCTTGCTGAGAGGGTATTTCGGGCTGAGAGGGAAGCATGCGGGGTTCGAAAGTGGGTACAGAGTGGACTGATTGCCAGGTCGGAAGACCAGAGGGTGACGCCCACATGGAGTGATGGGCGGGTGTGGGAGCGGGAGCGTTGGAGAGGGGACTATCTGACTGCGAGTGCTGCTGCTGATATGGTGGCTGTTGTTGGTACTGCTGCTGCTGCTGCTGCTGCTGTTGCTGCTGGTATTGGGGCTGCTGCTGCTGCTGCTGCTGCTGCTGCTGCTGCTGCTGGCGAAGGCTACTATTCATGCGAAACTGAGACACCACGGCCTGCGATGGGGACATGGGCGTGAATCCATGGCTCTCCATATTTCCTACATACGCAGAGTCTAGGTCTGGCTGGGGTTGGGGAGAGGATGAGAGTGCATACGCGCGTTCGCTTTCATTTCTGAACTGCTGCTGCTGCTGCTGCTGCTGCTGTTGCTGTTGCTGCAGCTGCCGTATCATCTGCTCTGCCCGACCAACCGACCCGCTCCGGAACATAACAGAAGGCCCGGTAGCACCATACCTAGGAGACTGGCTCGGCGAGGGCAGAGCACCAAACATTCCCCCATCTGCCCCCCCCATACCACCATCACTACCATCCCCGCCATAGCTCCTAGCTGTAGCATCACTACCTCCACCCCCATACGTTCTAGGGGCAGCAAGCGAGGGGCTTGAGGAACCGCTTACAGGCCCCAGACGCGAGCCTTCCCCTGATAAAGTCATGCCTAATCGCCCGGGACTTGACGGCACGTTGCCCATGCCGCCACCCGCCATACCAATACCGCCGCTCCCCATCCCCATACCCCCGCTCCCCATACCCATTCCGCCGCTCCCCATACCCGCCACTCCTCCGCCCACGCCGCCCAAATCCCCTGTAACGACGTCGGGACGTAAAGGGCTATAGGGCTGCTGAGCGCCCCTACCAGGGCCGGGGGAGGGCACGTCCTGGATTTGAAAATTCACGCCTGAGTTTCTCCCAGGGCGGTTGAGAGACAAATCGCCGCCGAGTGCATTCTGACTGGAATCAAAACGGGACGGCGCGTCCTGGAGCTGGTGGAAAGGCACGCCTGGGAATCTGCCCTGGCGGGTGAGAGACAGATCGCCGAGGTCGCCGGTGACTCGCGCTGCGCCGAGGTCGGCCCTTGTGATGGATTCCAGGTGGTCCTGGAGGATGTGCTGCGGTGGGGAGTGGTGCTGCAGCTGCTGGTTCCAGTATCTTGGTTGCTCCTGCTGCTGCTGCTGCCAACGCTGCTGCTGCTGCTGCTGCTGCTGTTGTTGTTGTTGCAGCAGCTGCTGCTGCTGTTGCTGTTGCTGTTGCTGTTGCTGCCGTTGATGCAGAGTTGGTCGAGAAAGTGGCGAGTTCAGCTGCTGCACCTGCTGCTGCTGCTGCTGTTGTTGCTGCTGTTGCTGTTGCTGCTCCTGCAGCAGGGAAGCTTCCAAAGCCTCTAGCGCCTCTTCAGTCTCCTCCGGAATGGTCAGCTCGCGCGCATTCAGCGCGGCGCGGAGGCGCATCAGATTCACCCCTGACGGCAGGCTCAGCGGCGCAGTCCCCCCGTGTCCCCCCGCGCCTCCCCCCCCGCCCGCGGACTGACTCCCCCCCGCCATGCACTTCCCGGACGCGGAAAACGAGGCGATGGAGGGGGAGATGGGGGCAGTGGGGGAGGAGCTGGTTGCGCTATGTGGCGCAAACTGCGACATCATGCGGACGGAGGAGGGGGACGGCGGAGGGAGGTCGGCGGAGGCGGTGACTGCGCGCATGTCCGCGGGGGAGTGCGCAAACATGTTGGCGGGGGTGCCCGCGGCGGGGCTCTGCAGCGGGCGGAGCTCCTCGGACGTGTGCGCGAAGAAGCAGACGCGGCGGGAGCAGCTGGTGCCGTCCTTGCATAGCCTGGGGTCCCGAGGGTGGAGGGGGGGAGAAGGGGGAGATGAGCGGAAGCGGTTAGCGGGAGAGAAGATAATAGTGGTAGCGCCAGTGGCGGGTCTCTAGAAGGGGAAGAGGCGGAGCTCCTCGGACGTGTGCGCGAAGAAGAAGACGCGGCGGGAGAAGCTGGTGCCGTCCTTGCAAAGCCTGGCACGGGGAAGAACGGAAGAGAGAGATTTGGCAAAGAAGTTTTACGTTGGAAAATCCGCGGCGCAAGGGCCGAAGGCTATGGGAGAGAATGAGGGGAGGCCGTCATGAGATAAGTCGAAGGACGGGGCGAACGAATGGCGTGACGAGCGGCGCAAGGGCCGCAACGGACGAGACGAAGGAAGAGAAGAGAAGGCGGTTCAGGTAGGTTACGGCGTGATTTACAGGGACAGCACACCGAGCGACGGCAACGGAGCAGCACGGGAGCAGGGACGAACAGGAAGGCAGCGAGAGCATACGGCCCAAGCGTTCTCGCTAACTCTTCAAGGAAAATGCCAGAGGAAGGAGGCAGCTAAACATCAAGGGGCCTCAAACATAGCGATACTTGGTTGGGAAAGTTTGACTCGCTTGATGCGTTTACATATGCGGAAAGCCGTACCTGGTTCGGTACTGCGCGGGGTGCAACCAGCACTCGAACACGCCATGCGCGTACTCGCACGAGTCCCCCCTCCTGCACGACCCCTTGCGGAAGTCCGGGCACGGCACGCAGCTGTAGTGAAACTTGCGCGGATCGCGGCGGCGGGCGTTCTCCCCGGGATGCACGAACGGGCACTCCGTCCAGTCGTGGCTGTACGCACGCGAGCACGGCCGCACCTTAAAGCTGTAGATCCGAAACTCGTCCGACGCGTACACGCTGCTTTTCATATCCGCCATGGATGAGTCGACTACACCCGCGCCGGTGGACGGAGTGGTGGGCGGAAGCACGTCGAGCCCGGTGGAGTTAGAAGAGAGATCGCTGCTGCTCGAGGTGGCCGGAGAGAGCATATTGGGCGACGCGGAGTGGGAGTTGGGGGATGACGGAGATTCGAACGGTGGAGACGAGGACGCCGCTGATTGGACGATGATGAACGGAGACGGACGGTGGTAGATCGGGTCGGGACCGGAGGACGAGGAGGATTTGAGAAGGCGCTCCAGGGCGGATTTAACGTGAGGAAGCTTCGGGGAGACTGCAATGACGTCGACTGGACGTTTTCCGTCACAGTCAACGGCATCTTTTTCGGCTCCGTGACGGAGAAGGAACGAAACCACCTCGACTGCTCTGGGGCTTCCACCCAACGCTGCACAGTGAAGAGCTGTGCTGCCATCCGAAGGACTCGCCTGGTTAATGTTGCACTCTATACCGCGGCTCCGTGCTTCAATAAAAATGTATGATAAAATATCTAGGCTGCCGAATAGGCACGCGATCATGGTTGGAGTTCGCTGAGCAAGAGCCATTCTGGTGGAGCCATTTTGACGACAGTACCATGACTCGCATTCCGTCAATGGCTTCCGTAATATTTCGACGCCTCGTCTGAAACTATCTAGGTCATTGCTCGCAGCTAACTCCAGCAAACTTAGATCATCATCGCCGTAAATAGTAGCAGATCCGGAGTCTCTTGCGTGGAGATTCATTGTTGAATAAGTGAATGACGAGGCGTCAACGGGACAGCCACAGCACATGGCTGAAACCCTAATAAGTAAGTCTAAGGAGAACCATGCTTGCGAACCTGGAAGCCTACCTAGGTGAGCTGCAACGTAAGAAATGCGACGCGCTAACAAAGCAAGGAATAACGAGATGCAAAAAATATAAGTGGTGAAATGGCTAGGCAAGAAATGAATCGTCGTGCCAAGAGGCTGCTTTTATACAATTGCTTCGGGTGGTATGGAGAGCTCTCAGCAGCAGGAAGCAAGACCTATGAGGGATGCTGCTCCCTCCCTCACCAGAGTCACCAGCTGAGTTCCACAACCTAGATATGTTCGACCAGTTGAGTAAGTACTTTGAACCGCTGTACCGAGATAGATTCCTGACTACCGAGAGAGGATCCCGAATACCAAGGTTCAAGTGCTGATGGTACAGGCTCCGAACGAACGCAAGGCTCCGAGGATGCCATCGGAGTTCCCAAGGCATGAACAACGCCCGAGGTACAGTTCAGGGCGGGCAGGGCAGTCTGCCAAGTCGAAATTCTCGAATTACTGTAGTCTGTAACCAGATGGTCAGAAGCAATGACGGCCAACAAGGCAAGACGGCGACGCCGGGCAGCCAGACCGGAAATGATTATGACTGATGGAGGGCCTAGATCCAGCTGGATCGGCGGATAGCGATTGGTCGGATCTTTTAGAGATGGGATGAAGAGCTGCAGAAACAAACGAGATTTACTCAATCTGCCCAAATTCAGGAGAATCGACGGTGCTGTGAAGACAAGGCAGACAGATTCAGAACGGTAAAAAAAACATCAGCAAGGAATCACAACCGTCAATAACAACACCAACACCATGACCGAGTCCTTCGTGCTTTCATATCTTGACATCAGCACCTCACCTCAACATGTTGGGAAATAGAACGAAGAGATTTTGTAAAAATGCGCGTTACAAACGTTCCAAGCCTAACAGTCAACCGCTGACAAAGAAACAAATAATGGGCCATTATCACCACCTACCTTACCTTCTGTCCCGCCCTTCCCTCACATCACCTCGCTCACTCCCCCTTTCATACTCCTCCCTGGCCCTCTGCTCTCTACCCGCCTTCCTGTCACCTTCTCTCCTTCTGTCTCTCTCCCCCTCTCGCCTCTCCACTCTCCAACCCCTCTCCTCTCTTCTCTCTCCCCGATGCCCCCGCTTCCCTTCCACTCCCCTCACTTCCTCACTTGAGCACCCCTTTCTCGACCGACCCTCTTCTCTCTTCTCACCCCCCCTCTCTGCCCTCCTGCTCCTCTCCTCTTTCCCATCCTTTCCCACCCGTCCCAACTTCCTTTCCCTATAACCATCCATCCCTTCTCGATCTCCTCTCCTTTCCCCACCCTCATCATTCCACCTCGTTCCACCATCCCCATCACCAATTTCAAAAGCGCGCCCCTTCATCTCCTTCCCCTCTGTCCTGCGCCTGCTCACTCTTTCCCCCTTCTCATCCCCATCCTCGTCCTCTGGTCTTGAACTAGTACGTTCACCAGCATCCCTAGTACTAGTAGCTCCCACCATCATCTCTTCGCCCCCTAATCTGCTTCCCACCCTACTCTTGCTAATCCCCTTCCCCTTCTCCTCCAGAGGTCCTGGATCCTCCCCGAGTCTCCTCTGCTTCTCTGTCTCCCTCCCCTTCCTATCATGCGGTCTCTTTCTCTTCGTCCCTCGTTTCCGTTTCCTCTTGCTCCTGTCACTGCAGCTGCTGTCTCTCCCAATGCTCTCACTAGAGCTAGAAGCTTCCTCATCCTCTGAGCTCGACTCAGAAGATTCTGAATCCGAAGAATCCGATCCTGTATCAGACGACGAATCAGAATCTGTTCTTTTGCGATGGTGATGACTCCTACGTCCGCCACGTCCCTTCTTGTTCTCCTTATTCCTCTTCTTCTCCCTCCCGCTCTTACTCTTACCCTCCCCCGCACCTCTCCTCTCCTTCTTCTTCCTCCGTTTCCTCCGCTCCTCCTTTTCCTTCATTCTTAAAGCCCGGCTCAGCTCCTTGCGCTGCTGCTTCGTCAGCGAGTCTAACACCGAAGAGGCAATACCAGGCATAAGCTCTCCTCTCCCTCCAGTCCCTCCCATTCCTTCCCCAGCAGCGGCATCTGCGGCCAATGCTGCTACATCCGCCTCTCCTCCGAGAAGGAACCCCCCGTACTGGTCGAACACGCCCTCATTCTCGTCGTCGCTGGGCGGCAGGATCTGCTGGTTGGCGTCGTTCGGCTTGAAGCCGCCCCGAGCGGGGCTCATGCCGCCCGCCCCTTGCTCCTTCAGCTGCCACCCAAAGGGCTGAGGCACACAGGGAAGCGGTAGAGAAAACGGGGGAAGGGAGCGGGGGGAGCGGGGGCAGCGGGGGAGTTTGAGGAAAATGCTTGGGAAGAATGGGGAGAAAAGGGGAAAGAAGGGACACAGCAAGGAGCATACCTGGGGGCGGTTGAGGGCGAGGATATGGGAGAGAGGGTCCTCCCTTTGCTGGCGCTTGAGGTCGTTTTCAGTGACGGAGTCAGACAGAGGACACTCCCTCTCGCCGCTGCTGTGCCCTATCGCCCCACACCGCCCACACTTGACGTTCCTCAGCTCGAGCCCGAATGGGCGAGGTCTGCCTATAATTCCTGTGTCCATTCTGGTGAGTGTGAGAGTGGAAGGAGAGCACGAATGGACATGTGATGATACCCCCACACACGTCCCTCTCGCCACTGCTGTGCCCTATCGCCCCACACCGCCCACACTTGACGTTCCTCAGCTCGAGACCAAAGGGGCGCGGCCGGCCTATGATGCCTGTGTCCATTCTGGGTAGTGTGTGGATTTGGACAGGAGAATTGGAAGCGAGAGAAATGGGGATACGATGACTTCCCAGCCCACTCTGCACTTCTTATTTCCATAAATGACTTCCTCAGATCCGGTCAATTATCAAGGCGCTGCAATCTAGCAAGAGAACCGTACACATAGGGACAATACACCCCATGCTGCCACACAGCCAGCACAGCGATCGACGTCCTCACCTCCAGACCCTACCTCCCCCCCCTCTTCCCCCCCCCCCCCCCCCCCCCCCCCCCCCCTGAGTGCATTCTGGAGCACTTCAAAGCCGTCTCCTGTAGGCATGCCTTCGAAGCTTGGAAAAACTTTTCATAGTTCACATGTATACACATGTGTACGCACTGAAAGCGCCTCAATAACCTCCTTCCCTTACCTTGGAGCGTTCTTGAGCACTTCAAAGTCGTCCCCAGTCGGCACGGCTCGACCGAACACATCTGTGGCTCTGGGCTTCTTTTTCTTCTTCGTCTGGTCCTTATCAGCCAGCTCGGATCTGCCAGGAGAGGAATGGTTCAGAGGGGTGCCCCAGAGGAGGCATGGGGTTAACACGCCCCAGCAGGCTTCGAAACCTATTTTGGCTTTTCTTTCTATTGCTTCTTTTGTTAAAAGAGAAGTGACCCAGGAAGCAATTCAAGGCGCTTCAGAGTCGGGGGTGGTACGTGGGAGTGCATGAGATGGGGCAGGGGTAAGACATTCGTAGTTCTTGGCTCACTAAAAGTAAAGACGCAAATAGGTAAACAAAGAATCTCTCATCCCGTTCCGGTGAGTTTTGAGGCTGTTCTGAGTTGAGAAGAAAAGAAAGGAAGGAATGAAAGAGCAAGAACTCACCCTGCCTCTGCCACCACCAACGCCCCATCCGCCCCCATCCCCGCACCCTCCCCTCCTCCCCCCTCTCCTTCCCCACCTTCCCCGCCTTGCCCTCCGCCTCCTTCCCCTCCTCCTCCCGCTTCCAGCAGGATCTTCCCCTCCCTCTCCTGCTTCGCCCGCTCCTCCTCTGCAAGCTCCGCCGCCCGTGCGCTCTCCGCGTTGTAACCGGGCGGCTTCATGTAGAGGAACGACACCGACTGCATCGCATCTGCCTTGGCTTTTTGTTGTTTCGACAGCAGCGCCGTCTGCTTGAAATACTCCTGCTCCTTCTGAAACTGCAATGGGGAGGCAAGGGACAAGGGGAAACTGGAAGGGGAGCATGAGCCAGTGATTTATCTGTTCCAATCTGCTTAAGCATGTCTGCTCCTTCAGGAGCTGCCGTGGGGAGGCATGGGGGAATGTGAGACGTCTCCCACGGGATGAAGCGACAGGGGAAACGGAACAAGCCAAAAGGAGATGCGGGAAATGAACTCTCACACGGTCGTTATTCCCGTACTGTGACATCTCATGACGAGCAACTCTTTTTCTATTTCGGCCAGTCGCTTGTCCTGCACGCCGTGCAGCTGCTTCCCGATCCACTAATACAGCATCAGTACTGAATTGCGTACCTCTTTTTCTATTTCGGTCAGTCGCTTGTTCTGGATACCATGCATCTGCTCCGCGATCCACTTGCGACGCTGGTTGGGATACGACAGCGGATGCCATGGCTTCTGATTCAAGTAGTTATGGCTCCACGCAGTTCCCGCCTTTTCCTTGTAATCAAACTCCTCGAATAGCTTCTGATGCAGCTCACGCTTAGACATTTTGACCTCCGCAGCGACTTGCACCGAGTCGCACAGATTCGCATTGGGTTTCACCGATTCGTGCCAGACTCAGGTCCACTACAAGGAACTATAGACAGGTACCGATTGAACCCATAGATACTGTCGCGCTTCACCAACTAGACGCTTGGTGGCTTCACTTAGAGGATTCAGCCTGAACGTCTGATAACAAGTCTCGGAGATGGTGTGTGAATGATGATTTCTCGGATAGGTTCACGATTGGTTGGGAGAGACGGGGAGAGGTGAAGGGGATTTGGGATGGACGAAATGGTGGTGGGTCAGGTCACTGTATCTGCATGGCGGAGCTTGGCCTACTTGTTGCAGAGTGTTTCGGTAATGCTGTATGTTGGTCAAATCGTGTACACCAGATAGTCTGTAAGCCGTGTCAAATCTGGGTGGTTCGTTTGACAATGCTAAACATCCATTCTGAAAATTCCATCCATTGAACCTTTTGATGAGGCTGCACACTTCCCAGCAGTTTCATTCTCACGCCAGTATGCTTTTAGCAGTGGTTGTGACTTGCCAAAAATTGCCAGAGATTTGCATATCCTTGCCAGAGATAGGTAGTTATGAGTCGGCTTGGGCATCCACTGCATATACAGGAAAGAATATAGGAAATGCCTCTCCTAAAAGGAAAGGTTGACTGCTGCCATACAGTAGTCTAAGATCACTTTAGCTGGGCAAATATTTTGGGAGCCGCCTGCAGAGAGTATCAAACAGTGCACGGAATGAAAGAACAAATAGTTCAGGTCACAGGTGACTAAATTGCAGAACCGAAGACAAATGACAAGCCGCACTTCCACTTCCACGAAGTGACACACTCACGCATTTATCAATGCACGCCCAGTAGTCGAAGTACTGGCCGGTGCAATGCTTCTCCCCCGTCTCGTCGCCTTCGATCCTCTTCACACAGGCCTACGCAATGCAGATCAGGGACCAGAGTCAACCCATAACCTCTATGCGGATTCATTGGACAGATCAACAAGGTTAAACGCCAAACACGACGTTGAGAGATGGTTCCAAGCCTGTCAAACAGATGGCGAACTAAACAGCTTCAAATATACTGAGGACGCGATGCTTTGAGGGTAAAGGGAAGTCTGACCTCGTACGCGAGCAGCTGCTTCACACACTTCGGCCGGCACCCCTCTTCAATCTCGGGCTTCGGATCCACAGGCTCGTCGTCAGCCCTACACGTGGCACACAAGATCGTCAGACACGATTCGAGCGAAAACTCCGTTAATACAACCGAATAAACACGAACGACCAGCAGAATACTATCCAACGAATATGCTAACTTACATAGTGTCTGACAAATACGAATACGCGTGGCGCGGATAAGTCCGACGTGAAGTGACAGAGCGAGGCGAAAGGCGACGAAGTTGCTACGAGGTGAAGTGGAGAGACTGCTGATCCCTGGAATGGGTGTCAGGGGAATGTGGGAGTTGAGGGGGGGACGAGGTCCTTGGGTCTGGAGGGAAGGTGCGCGAAAGTAGCAGGCGAAATGAACGAAAGCCCGACTGGGAGAATGCGAGGGACATGAAAAGTAACAAAGTCTGCGAGAAAGTGTTCCAACCCTTCGCAAGCATCAGAAGGTCCAGGAACTTGGAGAATCATAACAACATAACTGAATATGATGTATCTCAATCTACACTGCCAGCAAAAATATGTACCTAAATTAGTATAACAAAAAATCTAAGCACCTGCCTCCATCCCCACTGTAGAACCGCCTTCTGTGTGACCCTGCCCACTTTGGTCCCCACTAGGAGACGTTTCAATCACATCCTCCTTGCCAGTGGTGGCATCAGGGCTGCCACTGCTACCAGTTCTGGCACCACTGCTGCTATCTGTCTTGACGTCAGCTGCCTCTGCACTAGGAGTTGTTGAATTGTCCGCAGTGGCATTTGCAGAGGTCTGATTGGCTGACGTGACATTGACAGGGGCGGCAGGCGTTGTCTTCCCTGCAAGCATCTGCGGTTTCCATTGCAAGACGTCATCGATAATGTTTGACACTTTCTTCTGGTACCTGCAATGAAAAAGATGCAAAGAGGGTGTTGGGAGGAGGAATGCCATTGTGTGGCTTGAGGAATGAAAACATTGGCAGCAACGCAAAGAACATCGGCGAAAACATAGAGGGAAAGGAACCAGGTGGATATACACATAAAGGGTGCTTACTTGGCTCGTTGCTCTTGGTCAGGAGCGTAGGTGACCATGAGCCAGAAGGTGAACCCCAGCATCACAGCCACCGCCAGCCGCGTGGTGATCTTGGCGGGCGGCTTGTCGTCCTTATCCGGCCAGAAGCGGAAAAGCTCTGCGAGTGACCCCTCCTCTGCTAGGATGCTGGGGAAGAACCAGACATGCCTGCCCACAGCAAGCCAGATGGCTCCAAATACCACCACCCGCACTGCAATCAGGAAAAGGCAGGGAGGGAAGGGGAGTGGCTGTGTATGAAGCGAAAGAGCTCTGCCAGCGAGCCCTCCTCTGCTAGAATGCTGGGGAAGAACCACACGCGCTTGCCCACAGCCAGCCAGATAACCCCGAACACTGCCACCCGCACTGCGACAAGGGAGAAGGGGCAGCGTGGGAAGTGGGAGTATGTGAACGGGTGGGTGTGAAGAGGGATAATTCCATCAAACAGCCTCCCTCGGATGCTGGGAAAGAACCACACACACGCTTGCCCGCAGCCAGCTAGATGGCTCCAAATACCGCCACCCGCACTGCCATGAGGGGAAGAGGGGTGGGAATGCCTTTGCATTTAGCGGAATGGCTCCAGCTGAAACTTTCTGAACAACCCAAATGTACCAGGCAGCAGCCAGTTGCCAGCTGTGAAAACCTTTAACCACAACGTAACCCCACACTAAGTGTTTCACTTACCAAAGAGCAGCAGGAAAATGAGGGCGATGAGCCCCAGGAGGAAGTAGAGCACAGCGAGCTTGCACCAGTGGGGGAAGACGGGGAAGAGGCAGCAGCAGCAGCCAACCGTACGGACCTCTAGGAGCATGCCACATGCTTCAGACTAGGTGTAATACACAGCACAAGTTCAGCTGTCCACTCACCAAAGAGGAGCAGGAAGATGAGGGCGATGAGCCCCAGGAGGAAGTAGAGCACAGCGAGCTTGCACCAGTGGGGGAAGACGGGGAAGAGGCAGCAGGCGACGGTGAAGACTGGGAGAAGGAAGGAGAGGATGGTCTGCCATATGGGCTGCTGGCGCTCGTACATCCAGGCATAAAAGCCATCATCCACTGTGAACGCTTGATCCTGATGGTAAGGGTAGGGAGAGAGGCGGAGAAGAGCAGCGAGCCGGATCAAAGAGAGAAGGAAGGAGAGGATGGTCTGCCATATGGGCTGCTGGCGCTCGTACGTCCAGGCATAGAAGCCATCGTCCACCGTGAATGCTTGATCCTGGAAATAAATTTTTGGGGGGGTGGAGAAATGGGAGAGTGGAGAGATGGAAGAATGGAGAGAAGACAAGGTGGAGGAGAGGAAGAGTGCGCTTGGCAAAGAGAAGAAGGAAGGAGAGGATGGTATGCCATATGGGCTGCTGGCGCTCGTACATCCAGGCGTAGAAGCCATCGTCCACTGTGAACGCTTGGTCCTGCCGTTGGGAAGGGAGAGCGGAGAAGAAGAGCAGAGGAGCGGAACAGAGAGCTGCAAACTGAGGAGTGACAGACAGGAAGGAGGGGGTGAAGGCTGCTGGACCGATATGAGACACAATGAGTGCGTACCTGGTGAAAGTCCAGCCTCACAGGCCGCTTGAGAAGCCCTTTTCAACCGGGTGACCGAATCTCAGGGTCTTCACCACTCTCGATCGCACCGCACCACCAGCTGAGCACACCAACCCCTAGGCCACCCCTGAGCCTCACTGGTACCAGCCTCTCCCCCTTGCCCCTTGTGCCGCAGCCAGGCCAAAAATGGGTACCTGGTGAAAGTCAAGCCGGGCCGGCCATTTCGAGAGCTTCTTTCGGCCGGGTCTGAGGGTCTTCACCACTCGATCGCACCGCACCACCAGCTGAGCCTTGAAAATCCTCATGGTAGTTGAAATCCTATCGATTTTGCACAAAAACCAGTCCAAAATATGTCACTAACCTGGTGGAAATCAAGCCTTGCTGGCCATTTCGACAGCTTCTTTCTACCGGGTCTGAGGGTCTTCACGACTCGATCGCACCGCACCACAAGCTGAGCCTCCACGAGCGCGTGGAACACGGCCTCCTCAATAGGCTTGCGAAGGCTCGCGGCATCTTCCGCTGGAATTAAGGGAGACGCGAGCTCGGGGTTCTTGCGAAGGAGATCTGCGAAATCCTTGCCGCGAAAATACTCGACCCGATTCTCCTGAAATGGAGGAAGGAGTGTAACGAAGGACGACAAAGAAGCTGGTTCGAGGAGGAAACACAACATCCCAACAATCTGAAAATGCGTAGGAAGACGAGCTTACGATAACAATAGATGAACGCTAGTTTAATTCTCTGTGGTACGCAATGAATAAGTGTTGGCAATGAGAAACTGAAGATCGCGAGGAAGAGTAAGAAAGGCGTATGCTTGAGCTTACGCGAATGATGGCCCATCGCGAGTCCAATTCTCTGTGGTACCGAAGCTTATCCGCCGTGATCTCCGCTGGCGACTTCACCTTCTTCTGCGGCTTGGCAGTTTGCGACGCTCGCCGATCCTTTTTCGCCATCGCGAAATGTGTAACCTAGCCTTCGCTTCTTAATGGATCAGAGTCGATTGGAAGGGAAGCCAACTGCAGCCTATCCTGCACTTGCGACTACGCGTCATAGAACTTCGGTAACTGGCGCTCTTACTTCATGGCTGATAGATGTTATTCGGCCACAAGAAGTTGTCAGAAGGCGGCAACACAAAATCCAGCACAGCAGACACGCGGGAAGAATGTGTCCCGTAATGAGTCACTCGATATAAATTCCCGAAAGGTTCTAGAAGTTTCTGGCGGTTACAAGAAACATGTACACAGAGATTATATTTGAATCAGCCTACACATAAACAAATTGATTTGGCAACAAAATCGCATGTCCTTGCGGCAGGTGAAGCAATAACGAGGAAAGCCCAGGCCAAATCCATCCACCCTCGGAAAATTTCAGAATATCCTTCTTGGCATTCTCATCTTGTGGCATTCGATCCTACTCCACCATGCCCGCCGTTATTTCCCCCGCAGCATCCGCTTACGCTACCGCTGCCGCTACTGCTGCTGCTCGGCGCGCTTCTTGGGTTGCTTCTTCCCACTCCCACCAATCGGCTGTTGTTCTATCCCGCGTCACCCAGTCCCTCAAGGGACCCACCGCCTCTTCCCCACGACTCATCTCCGCGCAAGCTTTTTCCTCCCCGCTTGCTCCGCGGAGGAGTGTTCCGACCCCGCTATCTTCCGCATTTTCGCTCTCATCAGGGCGTTCCGCACGTGTCGCTTCCCCCGGTTCCGCCGGCTTCTCCGCGCGTCAGAACCTCCACGCTTCGCGCGTTTCACTCACCACGAGAGCCATGGCGGGCGAAGGTGACAAAAGCGGGGGCGCCGCGAAGCCCAAGAAGGTGCTTGTACCGATTGCGACGGGGACGGAGGAGATGGAGAGTGTGATTGTAGTGGATGTGCTTCGACGCGCGGGAGCGGAGGTGGTGGTTGCGTCCGTCGAGCCGCAGAAGGCGATCGTCGCGTCGCGCGGAGTGAAGCTCGTTGCGGATGACGTCATCACGTCGGTCGTGGATACGGATTTCGACCTCGTGCTGCTGCCAGGTAATGTTCTTCGAACTAGGGATTGTTATTTCTTGAATCGAAAAAAAAAAAAAAAAAAAAAAAAAAGTGGAGTTTAGAGATACCCCAAGTGACACATGACATGGGTCAGGAATTTACACATGGTCAGGAGGTCCTAGGCAGATGCCACCCCAGAGTCAGAGGAGGCAGGTACCTCAATAGGTAGATGCTGTTGTTCTGACCTTCATCTCATCTCTTCTTTTTTTTTTTCCTGCAGGAGGCATGCCAGGCGCCGAGTACCTGAGGGACAGCGCACCTCTCAAGCAGATTGTGGAGCGCCACATGTCGCTCCCCCATTCGTCCGTGGCCGCCATCTGTGCCGCCCCTGTGGTGGCCCTCCAATCCTGGGGCGTCCTCACTTCCGTCACCAAAGCCACTGCTCACCCGGCCTTCTCCGATAAGTTGACTGGCGTTGACCCAGCTGTTACTGCATCTCGAGTCGTGGAAGACGGTAACGTGGTTACCAGCCGTGGCCCTGGCACTGCGATCGAGTTTGCACTTGCATTGGCAACCCGCCTCTACGGGGAAGCGAAAGCAGCCGAAGTAGCCGCAGGGATTGTAGCTGCAAAGGGGGACGGATCTGATTTGCTGCGTGTGGTGGAAAACAAGGATAAGATTCCCAAGCCAAAGAAGGAAGGGGAGGAGGTGACGGTGCTGGTGGCAGTGGCTGACGGAACAGAGGATGTGGAGGCGGTTGTTCCCATTGACGTGCTCGTGCGTGCGGGAGCAAAAGTAACCGTTGCTTCTGTCAGCGATTCTCTGAATCTGAAGCTTCGTTGCGGGACGAATCTCACAGCTGACACCACCCTCACTAATGTGGCTGCTGCGGGGCGCAAGTTCGACCTTGTGTTCGTTCCCGGGGGTATTCCTGGGGTAAACCACCTTCGCGACAGCATCTTGCTGGACGGCATTCTGCGTGAGCAAGTGGCGGATGGGCGGCTGTGTGCAGCCATCTGTGCTGCTCCGGTCGTGGTGCTCCAGTCTAAGGGGTTACTCCAAGGGAAGAAGGCGACAGCACACCCGTCCCTTTCTGACCAGCTTGCCGATCAATCTGCGGTGCCGGCACGTGTGGTGGTGGATGGTCCGGTAGTGACGAGCCGAGGGGCGGGAACGGCATTTGAGTTCGCTCTGACCCTCGTGGAGTACCTGTTTGGAGAAGATAAGGTTGTGTCGATGGCCAAGCCAATGGTCATGAGCCCTGCGCTTGTACCTGTGCCCATGCCAGCGTAGTCCAAATGTTGGGGCTGGCCTTTGATTTGCCATGTGTTTTCGTTGTTTTGAGTTCTAAACCCTGAATTGGTGGAGCTTTCATGTCTCCGACAAGCAAGCTACGGTAGACTGCCATACGGCCTGTGCACCCATGCTTTTTGCTCTAGCAGTCCAGTTGACAAAACTGCTCTCGAACTCAATATTACATCAACCTAAGCATTTCGTTGGGATTTATATATTGAGTCAACAGGAGGTAGCAAAGACTAATGTCCTACAAGTCTAGCTCAGGTTCCCGCTGACTGTACGAAATTGCATTCAAAGAAACCAGCAAGAATGTCTAAATTGCTAACCATACTGTAGGTAGAAGTGTAAGAGCTAGCCATAGCTAGCAACAGTTGCTCTTCTGTTGCAGAGGCCTGCTCTCTCCTGGACGCACGGTCTGTCCTGTCTTGTTGCCCAATGCTGGCTGGCTCGCCATCCTGTAAAGTAAACATTGAATACAACATCCCAGATATTGAAAGGCATGGGAAAGGGTAGTTGGGAGGGAGAGGGGGGGAGTACGGGGGGGTTGGTGAGGGGGAGAAGGGGCGGGGGGTGCCCTGCAATACTCTGAAGGGAAGAGATGGTTGGGGGAGGAATGGTTGGGGGGCGAGGAAAAGACCTCTCCGAATGATGCACGAAAAGAGAAAACCAACAGGGGCGTAAATATGGGGGGTTGAAGTAATAACAAGAATGAGAGGAGTGGAAGGAGGGGGGAGGGAGGGCGAGGGGGAAAGGGGAGAGGGGGTTGGAACAGGAAACGCATGTTGAAGGTACTGATGGTGGGCAAAGGGATCAACAGAATGATGTAGCGGGGTGAAAAAGGTTAAGTGGCGGGAATGACGGCAGTGCCAAATTCGGGCACAGAAGACGTGCCACGTGGAGCATACTGCAATCGGGCTACATACCTGTTCTTGATCTCAGCTGCCATAGTCATGAAAGCCTGCTCTACATTTGTGGCGTTCTTTGCACTGGTCTCCAAAAAGGGGATGCCAATCTCATCAGCAAAAGCCTGCCAGCAGTTTAGGATAGACGGAGGCAAGACGACAGACATTGAAGCAATCGCAGTGTATCGTATGATACCCATGAACGACCCAGTTCGCAATGAATCCAGTGCATCCAGCTCAGATTTCCTTGTTTATGCTGTATTTTCTGATTATATGCTGTCAAAGTGGGGAAAACAAGTCGCGGGAAGCAGATACAGGAAGTACCTCAGCTCTCGACACTAATCTCAAAAGAAGAGAATTCACTTAGGTAGGTCTCACCTTAGCCGTTTGATAATCCACGACTCTCTTGTTGGTAAGATCGCACTTATTCCCCACAAGCAGCTTGTTCACGTTCTCGCTAGCGTATCGGTCGATTTCATTCAACCACTGCTTCACGTTGTTGAAGCTCTCTTGATCAGTAACATCGTAGACAACCTGGGCCATGTTCACCAGTAAAAGTCAGAAAACGACATGTTCACATCTCCCGACAAACTTAACGATAAGCGAGTCACTTACAATGATTCCATGTGCTCCACGATAGTAACTGCTAGTGATGGTTCTAAAGCGTTCTTGTCCTGCGGTGTCCCACTGCAAAAAGATTGGTTCAACATTAGAACATCCACAGTAAATAGCATTCACTATTGAAACTGAACCTGACGGAACTTACGATCTGAAGCTTGATCGTCTTGCCATCGAGCTCCACAGTGCGGATTTTCTGAAAGGCGTTCAAGGGGACTACTGTCAGCCTCAGATTGCACAGCAAAACAAGATTCCAAGAGAAAGCGAGAATAACGACTCACGAAGTCCACGCCGATGGTGCTGATGTAGCTCTCCAAATACGAGTCATCCTGATGAGATGAACAGGATACAGATGTCACCAAATTAAAGAGTGACAAATTATACACATCTAACGAACCTAAAAGCAATATGAGATTCTTACGGCGAAACGGAGGAGAAGGCACGATTTGCCAACACCAGAGTCCCCAATCAACAAAAGCTTGAACAGGTAGTCACTGCACAAGCAAAATATCCAGAGATCTATCAGCAACTTATGACTCTTAAAACGGTTCCGTGCTCCAACAACTGCTTGGATACCCACTACTCGGGATTCATGGCGACTTCGTTGACGCTAACAAGAAAGATGACTGCACACTATTTAGCAGCAGCTCAAGAAGTTCGACGAGATATTGCGGAGCAGATGCTAGCTCAGTACGGCGTCAAGCGGTGTGATAGGCTACCTCGAAGGCTACAAAGCAAGTCTAGGAGGTAGTTCCTTCAGTAACGACTGACTAGTTAGCTGAAAATAATGGAGGTGGAAGAATGCATCAGAACACAATCTGTGAGGTGGTTCCAGAATGCGAGGCTCAGTTGTCTGATGGAATCACTCTGGCTGGTTTGACTGACGGGGATGTGTCCTCGCTGGTTGGTTGGTTGGGTACAACCGGACGGAATGCTTGACGAACGGCCAGAGGACAACGCGGATGTGTCATTGACGTGAGTGCCACGCCCAGAACATCCAAACTGACTGCCAAACCTTCCCCAGAGAGGGAAATTGGCGGAAGAAGATGCGGAACTTCCGACCTAATGCACCCGCGGAGCGTTTTGGCGGAGCGGAGAGGGGATCCGCCGAGCAAGATCGGTGTTCTGACTGGCATGGCGATGTGTCATCGCACCTTCGCCGACTCGCCGAGAAACAGCCCGTTTCCCGCCCTGACAATCTCAAAGTTCGTGCAACGGTCGCTCATTCTCGGTACACTGCACGTACAACTTACGATCCATATCGGGGTAATACACTACACGAAAATTCTCCATACAGTGATCAGTTCCAATACATTCTGTCATCCGCTATTGCCAAAGCTATTGTCACATATAACGAGTTCTCGCATCCGAAGTTTAGTGGATCTGTTGTGGCCAAGGAGGTCTTCCATCCATTATCGAGGTTTTCCGTCCATTCCTTCCAGCCGCTTCTTCAAATCTCACCTTCATCCGAATCAGCACCATTGAATCTGCTGTGGTTTCCGCTGCAGTTCGTCAGGATCGAACGTTTGTATCTCTTCGCGGATCTGGTCTATCTTAATACGGCGTTCTTCGATTGGTCTAGAATTCTTTGTCGCCATGTCAGAGGTAGATTGTCTACGTGGGATCGTCCGGGATTGCCTGGACAAGAATCTGATCAGCTCTGCTTCGTTCCTCGCCGATAAGCTCGCTTGCTTATCCTCTCAGGATCCTGAGGACGTCCTTCTTTTAGCACGATGCTACTATGGTTCGCGGCAATTCAGACGAGCATTGAGGCTTTTGCGGGCCGAGGATCTAGTCCATTCCGACACCCGCTTTCGACTTCTTGCATCGAAATGCTTGGTTAGTGAATTCTTCACTTCTTGTATTCTGGAACGTCTTTTGTTTCTTCATTTGTTTACTCGTTGTGCCCTTTGACCGCGCTTAGTAGTTGTATCCTGAGTAATGTTAACATACTGAGCAATCTGGAGCTAATGTTGAACATTGTTATTGTAGCTTAATGGGATTGGTCGCTTTCGGATTTTGGGTTCTCTTCTGATGTGGTGTAGGACCTGCAGGCGGACGAGAGGCCTCACTGGACTCGTATGATGGTGACGTTCTGAGCAGGAGCAAGTCAAGGACTGGGAGGAATGCCTTGCATTGCTGGAAGACGCTAACAACATGGGAGCTACTGCTGGTGGGAAGAGCTGGTCCGGCTTCCCGGTTACGCCGGTACCTGGTGCAGGATTTCTCACGCCCACTGACGGTATTGCTCCGACGAGATTGGATCTGTCGACCCCAACATTTGGAGGAGCGTCTGAAGATTCGCCACGGAATGGAATCAAGGTATGACCTGTGTTCTCTCTTGAGCGGAAGTGGTACATGCTGTGACATGTGCATCATCTCTACCCTCTCAATGTACCGCATTCTATCATTTGCTCGGCTACGTGTGTCGTGACCTCACATGCGCCTCCCGCTAATGCCTTTTTCTGCCTGGCTTGTGGTTTCCCTGCTACCTTGCTCACCTGCAGCCAGCAGCTGCGTTCAATCTGATCCGCGGTCGCGCGTACGAGGCTCTCGGGAATCGACCAAAAGCAATCCATTGGTACGCCTTGGAGTTACCTCCTTCGAGTAGGTTCTTCCTGCTAACGAGTACTAGATGTGCGTGATAAAGAGCAGTGAGGGGGGAGTGATGAAACGCACTGGGCACCGAGTCACGGAATGCCTTATGGGCTCTCTTGCTGTGACGAATCGCACCTAGGGCTCAGAAAACCCGCTACCTGACCCCCCACACAACAACTTGTCCACCCAAGAGCCATTTCCGCCTGCATGTTCCTTGTTGTCCGTCGGCTTTTTTGCAACACGCCATGACGATAAGCAATCCATCATGAAGTCCTGGAGCCGGCAATCCGGCTCTGTTCTGTTCACACGCTTGGCATTACGCCATGCATGTCGTATTTTTGTGCAGTGAAATCGCAGCCAGAGAACATGAGATTTGAAGGGTTGTGATGAAGCGCACTGGGCACTGAGTCACGGGATGCCTGATGGGCTCCCATGCTGTGACGACTCGCACCTAGGGCCTAGAAAACCTGCTATCTGACCCCCGGTCCTGCTTATCCTTTTCACGCTTATGTTTTTCAGTTATTGTTTGAACCTGCAGTCGTGCTATCTGCTCTGCTGTGACGACAAACAATGCACCATCAAATCCTGATCCCTAGTGCTGGGTTCTGATTACACAACATTTACTGTATCTGAGCAGATCTAGGTTATTGCACATTATACATATCGTTGCCATTACGGTCCGTATCACGTTTTTGTTTTTATTTGTTATTTTAAGTTGGGTTTTTATTCACCATAATCTCTACCTTCTCCAGTAACCCTTTTTGTAGTAGACTCTGGTCGTCTGGTCTCCCCTCTGTCCGCGCGTATGCCACCTGCCATGATGATTCTTACAGCACCATCAAATCCTGATGACCCAAATGGGCTCTGATTACACAACGCTTGAATCTGAGCATGGTCGCTTATTGATAACAATATATGGTCCTGCGTCCTTCAAATTTTATGTTTCCATTCTTGTGCCTTGCAGCCAAGCTTGTGCAGCCATTTATCGTGAAATTTTCTGTACAATATGGTTATTATCTATCGTTTTCCCTAGAAGCCTGTTCCAGTTTTCCTGCAGAAGTTGGCTGTTTTGTCTCCTACTGTTTCTGCGCACATGTAACCTGCCATGATGATTCTTACAGCACCATCAAATCCTGACGACCCCAATGGGCTCTGATTACGCAACGCTTGAATCTGAGCATGCTCGCATGCTGAACCTCTTTTCCTTGTAGGCTGGTTGATTATCACGCTTGCACCTTGTGCAGCTGTATTGCTCCTCCCGTCTGCTTGCTTTCTTTTTGGCGCAGCTGCGATCCCCCTCTGCTCTGGTTTTCCTCCTGCTTCTCTTTCTATGTCTCCCGAACCTGCCTTTTCCCTGTCCACTTCACCCAGACCTGATTCATAGACTTATCCCTCTGTGACAATTATCTCCCCCTTGTCGCTATCCACCCGTCAGGCTTTCAGCTGCGCTACAAGCTGATCCGTTCTGTTCAGAGGTGCGTGTAGTGTTGTTGTTTTTGTGTAGTCTGCTCATAGTTAACGTTGCTGTGTGTTTACAACGAACAAGCTGTGTATTGCAGTGTATGAGCTCTCTTTTCTTACCGCGTACTTCTCTGCATCTGCATCTTTTTTTGTGTGGCTGTCGTCGCCGCAGGCCTTTGACGAGCTGATGGACAATCATATGCTAACAACCGAGCAAGGTGAGCGAGGGCTGCGATGTCTTTAACAATTGGTATAGATTAACAAGGTAAGGGAGGTGTCCTGGTTAGTGTTTTTGTTCTGGGTGAGCGTTGGGTGGCGGTTTCCATGCTTTTTTATGTGATGTTTATCGTTGGAGGGTAAAGAGTGCAGAGATGGGTCTATGTTCTGTCGAACAAAATCAATCGACAAGGTGCTGATTGAAAGCACAAAGAGGGGGGCATGATGAAGCGCACTGGGCACTGAGTCATGGGATGCCGCATGTGCTCCCAGCAGTGACGACTCGCACTTAGGGCCTAGAAAACCCGCTATCTGACCCCCGCTCTCATTGGAATGAGACGTCTCAATAACGATTTTCTTCACTGAAGCAGTCGCTCAGTAGGCCATTTACGTCACTTTCATATCGCCCCCTAAAAATCATTCGGCCTAAACGTCATGTTATTGCCTGCTGGCTCTACACGTGGCATATTGTCCACATGCTGTGCCATCCCTTGTTTGGTCCATTTTCTACCCATGTCCCAGTCCATCCATCAACCAACCAACTGCTGTTTATCCGAGTTCTGAAACGTCTCACCATACCGTTACTCTCCCTTCGACTGCACATCTGCCTTCCATCTGCCGACCATCTGCGTATGTGTTGTGCAGAGGTCGATCTGGTCGAGTCCCTCAACATCCCTGCTGGCTTTGAGTGGCTGCGCCTGCTTTACTCGTGCCGCTGCAAGAAAGTAAATCCGCCCCTTTGTCCTCCTGTTCTGTTGTCTTGGCTGCAATAAAGGGAGCTACTATTCGTACCATCTCGTTGAGATTCCATTACCCATTACTGCAACCCCATAACTGTGTTCACACATGCCCTTTCTTGCCGGCCAATCGTCCTTGCCTCCTGTGTTGTTTTTTTCCCTTCCATGGTTTGCTTCAGTACGGCAGGGAGGACGCAGTGGAGCAACAACTGAAGCTGTTGGAAGGCCCGTCGCCTCCCTCCAATCAGCCATCCCGTCTAGGCACCAGACGAACCTCTGCTCGTCCCACCTTGACATCCTCGCAAACACCTGCCGCTGCTGCTGCTGCTGCTGCTCCTGCCGCTGCTGCTGCTGCTGCTGCTGGTGCTGGTGCTGGTGCTGGAGGTGATGCTGCAAATGACACCGGCCGGGGAATGGGTGACAATGAGGAGGAGAGGGTTGGGAAGAAGGCAGGGGTAGGAGTTGGGCTAAGGTGGGCCTCGAAGGATGGTGGTGGTGGTGGTGGTGGGGGTGGTAGGGGTGGTGGGGGTGGGAAGGGGAGAGGGCGGACGGTGGAGCAGGGTTTGCTGGGTGGCAGTGGTGACGTGGCAACGAGCCGCGCTGAGCTGATGCTGCACGTGGGGCGATACGAGGATGCATACCGAATCACAAAGCAGTGAGTTTGTGGGGGAATGGTGTACGCATTACCATGACAGTTGTCATCCCCATACAGCTTTCAGTGTGCTTATCAGGCCGTCCTTCCTCTGCCCGTGCTGTTTCTCCCTCCTCCTGCCTTCCTGCTTCTCCCCTCTCCCTTTCCCTCTCCTTGTCGCTTGCTGTTGCTAACTTTTGTGGCAGGGTCTTGGATCGAGATCCGCACAATACTCGTTGCATCCCCACCCATCTGGTAGCAGCGGTACACTTGGGCAGGAGGAACGAGCTCTTTAAGGCGGCTCACCAGCTCGTGGACGACCATCCCAACACGTGAGTCGATGGTATTGCAGCAGTGCAAGCACCTCTTGAGTGGCTCTGGGTGCAGTGCAGTAGCAGCGGCGCACATGGGCAGGAGTTCAGGGCAGCAGTTGGTTTTTGAGAATTCTCAAAAACCAACTCGTATCAGGGCAGCACACCAGCTCGTGGACGACCATCCCAACACGTGAGTCGATGGTATTGCAGCAGTGCAGTGCCAGCACCTCTTGAGTGGCTATGGGTGTGCAGTGCAGTAGCAGCGGTGCACTTGGGCAGGAGAAAAGAGCTCTTCAGGGCAGCACACCAGCTCGTGGACGACCATCCCAACACGTGAGTCGATGTTGGTATTGCAGCACTGGTTTGCCGGCACCTCTTCAGAGGCTCTAGCTGCAGCAACAGTGATCCCCACTTGGGCAGGAGGAATTGGTTCTTCAGAGCGGCACACCAGCTCATGGACGACCATCCCAACACGTGAGTCGATGTTTGTATTGTGGCAGTACCACAACTTAGCAACGTTTCCACTCGTGGTTGCTCTGCAGAGCACTGGCATGGTTTACGGTGGCGTGCTACCACTACTGCATCCAGCAGCACAAGAGATTAACGCAGTGCTGTATTTGTTACTAATTCCACCCACTCACCCGCCCATGCTTACTCTTCAGAGCACTGGCATGGTTTGCAGTGGCGCGCTACTACTACTGCATCTGCCAGCACGACCAGGCAATGCGATTCTTCTGCAGGCCACCACCGTCAGCGCTGCCTTTGATAATTCTTTGAGGCACCCTGCTACTGTTCGTGTTACTCCCGCCTGTGGCATATCCTTGGCAGGGCGTTGGCATGGTTTGCAGTGGCGTGCTATTACTACTGCATTCGCCAGCACGACCAGGCAAGGCGGTTCTTTTGCAAGGCCACCAACGTCAGCGCTGCCTTCGCCCCCGCCTGGATGGGCTTTGGACACACATATGCGGCACAAGAAGAGACGGATCAGGCCATGGTGGCTTATCGGACGGCTGTGCGGCTCTTCACAGGGTAGGGGGTGGGGCAGAGAGGGGTGCGGTGCGGTGGGTTGTGGTGTGTTGGGGGGGTTGTGGCGGTGCGTCTTGATGGACTTTGCGGCTCAGGAGGAGACGGATCAGGCCATGGTGGCTTATCGCACTGCAGTGCGGCTCTTCACAGGGTAGGGTGGCTGTGTGCAGTGCGGTATCATACGGTGTGATGTGTGGTATGGTGTGGTGTGTAAGCACCATAGCTCACCATGATTTCTGTGTCTGAAATGCATCATATCACCATGATGTCCTCTTGTCAACTCTTATATGATGACTCAACTCGCCAAATTTCCTCTTCTTCACCTCTTCCAAACTTCATCCCCTTGACCCCCTTCTCCTGTCCCTGTGGCAGCTTCCATGTGCCTCTGGTGTGCATTGGTATGGAATATGCACGCTCCAACAACCTCAGCCTATCGCTGCATGTGAGCCAACGCTTGTGAATCCGAAATTTTAGCTGCTGCATGCGAGTTCCAATTCGTCGTGCTCTTGTTGCTCTAGTTTCACAAGAAGAATGTAGCTTGGGCCATGCAGATGCATTCTCTCCCCCCCCCCCCCCCCCACTTCCCAATTCTGCCCTCTCCCACCTCCCCTGTTCCCCTTCTTCCTGTTTCCGACCTTTTCCCCTCTTCCTTTTTTCTTCCACCCCATACCTTGTGCCCCCTTTTCACATCCTCACTGTTGCTTCTTCTCCCCCACCCGTCCCAACCCCATGCTCAGTTCTTGGATGAAGCACGCAGGTTGTGCCCCTCAGACCCTCTGGTGCACAACGAGCTGGGAGTCATTGCTTACAGGAGTCTCGAGTAAGACCCATGACTCCTTGCTCCCTTTTTTATTTTTTGTTATTTCTTTCCTTGCTTTTTCCTCGTGCTCCCTTTCCCCCTCCCCCTTCCGTACCTTCACCGTACAACCTGTATCCAGAAACTTCAGTTCACAGCAGCTAAGGCTACCCAAAAAAGACTTTAGCCACCAGATTTTCACCCTCTCTGCTCTCCAATACCTCCCATCTGCTCCCCCTTCCCCTCTCTCCTTCCCAACCCCCTCCCCCGGCGAAAATCCCTCCCTCCCACCCGAACCCACGCTTCTCCACCTCTCAGTTTCACCTCGGCAGCACGGCACTTTGAAGTGGCGCTGCGGCTGGTGACGGGGTACGGAGCAGCAGCGGGAGAGGGAGGGGGGGCAGAGAGCGATGGGGCACGGGGGAGCTCGAATGCTGCAGCGGGGCGGCAGGCTGTGGTGGCGGAGTCGCTGGGTCTGTGGGAGTCAACCGTGGTCAACCTTGGACACTCGTACAGGAAGATGAGGTGAGGGAGGAACGGACGCAAGAGAGCGAGGGGCAAGGGGGAGTTCGAATGCTTTTGAGAATTCTCAAAAGAGAATGCGGTAGAATAGAATGGCGGCAGGCTGTGGTGGTGGAGTCGCTGGGTCTGTGGGAGTCAACCGTGGTCAACCTCGGTCACTCGTACAGGAAGATGAGGTGAGGAAGGGGAAATGAGGTGAGGGGAATAGGGTGAGGAGAATGGGTCGAGGGAATTCGGTTGAGGGAATTGGGTCGGGGGAAATGGGGTGGGGAGAATGGGGTGTGGAGAATGGGTGGGGGGATTGGGTTGAGGGAATTGGGATGAGGAAAATGATGTGAGGGAAGTGAGAGGAGGGAAGTGAGGCGATGCCCTTTTTCGTGACCAACTGCCTTCCTTCTTTTCTGCTTGCCCTCCCCACCCAGCTAGCTCTCTCTCCGCCCCAACACTGGCCCTTTGCAGCTCTCGCTCCCTTTGCAGCCATGGCCTTCACTCACCAACTTCGTTTCCCCCATTCCCACCCCCCTCCGTTTTTCCCATTCCCTCATTCATCCAAGCAGGAGATACAGCGATGCGCTGATGGTATACGAGCAGGCTCTCTCTCTTCGCCCCAACACTGCCAGCACCTTTAGTGCCCTTCCCTTGCCCTTCCCCCTCCCTTCTGTTCCGCTTTTTATATCCATAACCCCACTCTTTTGAGCAGGAGATACGGCGACGCCCTGATGGTGTACGAGCAGGCTCTCTCTCTTCGCCCCAACACTGCCAGCACCTTTGCAGCCATGGCCTTCACCCACCACCTGCAGGGAAACCTCATCCCCGCTATTGAGTTCTACCACAAGGTAAGCATGCACTTTCTATGACAGGCTGCGTTTTGTACCCAATCCCCCTCTTCTCTTCCGTGCTTGTGTCAAGTACAATATGTTCAATTCATCATTTCCCTGTTCCTCGTGCCCCTTTCGAACCCCCATCCCAACCACGCATGACTACCACGAGCAGCCTCTGGGGCTGTGTCGAGTAAGCCATGTTAGAACCATCATTCACCCCCTCCCTCATTCCCCCTGCCCCTCCCCCTCCCCTGATGAACATGAGCAGGCGCTGGGGCTGTCTCCGGGGGACAGCCTGTCTGCTGAGATGCTAGGCCAAGCACTGAAGGATGCGTTTTGAGGAGCCTCAAAAGGAATCTGACTGACCCCCCAACCCAACCCACCGCCCACGAACATGAGCAGGCGCTGGGGCTGTGTCCGGGAGACAGCCTGTCTGCTGAGATGCTAGGCCAAGCACTGAAGGACGAGTGTGCTCTCATGTCGGCTGCTGCTGACGACCATGTGGGGCCTGATGCTGTCCTGCCGCCCCTCTCAGCATGACAGCGCTTGGGTTATTCGAACTTGGAAAAAAGGTGGCAAGAGGCATTGAAGGCTGGCCTATGAGTGTCTCATGTCAGCTGCTGCTGACGACCATGTGGGGCTTAATGCTGGCCTGCTGCCCCTGAATGCATGACAATGTAAGGTTGTAATCATATAGAAATGTTACCACGGGGGAGTGAGGGACTGCACGAGGGCGTTCAGAAATTAGGAGCACAAGGATCACAAAACAAATCAAACTGCTATCGCTAAAGAACCTGAGAGCACCAATGAAACCTTTAACTACAAATGTTTAGTGTGCATGCATGTGACCATGTGCGCTCGTTACGGCTGTCATAAAATTTATCTTCAAACTTGGATTGGCTGTCATGTCAAGTCAAATGCAGAAACAAACCATCAGTAGTTTCCTAGATTACCATGTGCACAAACAAGTGCGCATGGTAATCTCAATTAACCTTGCTGATGTAACATGATCAATACCACTACCACTACCCATTTAAACAAACCTGTCAAGACAACATCTCTTCGCAAGTAGCCTTCTCTTCATTTCACCACGAGCAGCGAGCGACTCTATCTTGGCTACACTACACTAGCTCCAGTTACAAAACAACGCTGCATATGCAACCCAGCCCAGCTCCATGCATTGCGGTGCCACTGCAACTCAATCTTAACACACCCACCCATTTCCAGCCAGTCCATTGTCACACTAGTGAATCCACTGTCAGAGTTCAGCTGACTCGGCTGTGCGCTCGTGCCACCCTGCTGGCAGAGTTCAGTACGCCCCTGCTGCACCCTCGTGCCACCTGGCATCAGGACGAGGCTCGCCTCTACTGGATGCAGGTGGAAGGAGGCAGCTCGTTGACGACGGTTGACTCGGGTGTGCGCTCGTGCCACCCTGACAAAAGAAACTAGCTCACCCTCCCCTGACAACAGCAACCAGCTCACCTCTACTGCACCTTCCCACCTCGGCAGCAAGGGGCTCGCCCTCCCCTCGTCTCTACTGCACGCGGGTGGCGGGAGGCGGCTCGTTGACGACGGTTGACTCGGGAGTGCGCTCATGCCACTGGACCTCGATCCTGATGCGCCCATTCTTGGGCGAGTCTGAGAGCAGGTAGAAGTCGTTGAGTCGCCCGTTCGCCACCACGTCCGAGAGTTTGATGTCACAATAACCGATGAGGTCCTGCGGAGGGAATGGGAATAAAGAAGAGATGTGTGGTGGGAGAGGAGGGAACAGCGCAGAAAAAGAGAGAGCAGGTGCAAGTCGTTGAGTCGCCCGTTTGCCACCACGTCTGACAGATTGCTGTCTCTCCCAATACGAACGTACCTTAGAGGAGGAGATAGAGAGCGTGCTCAAGTTCTTGCTGTAGACCTTCACATGCAGCACGTCCTTAGCAGGCGGCTCATCCAGAAGCAGTTCCCACTTGTCGTCCTCATCGAACGTCAGCTCTGCTGCCTTCTTGTGCACCTTGCTCGTCCACTCTTGCGCTCGGAAGCGCAGCACCACGAAGGGGTTGGCGTGCTTGTTGGTCTCGAGGTTCTCGCCCTCGCCCAGGATCACGCGCAGGCGCCCCCCCCCCACGTTGAGCCACGAGGGGAAGACCTCGACGTCCATGTCGTCTGGCATCTCTGCCTCTCCCTTAGCCAGTGGACTGAGAGGTAGGGGAGGGATTGTGATTGTGGTGGGGAGGAGAGAAGAGTAGGGGGAAAAAGGGGCGAGGGGGAGACGCGCACCCCGCCTTGAGCCACGAGGGGAAGACCTCGATGTCCATGTCGTCTGGCATCTCAGCTTCTCCCTTCGCCAGTGGACTGAAGGAGAGGGAGGGAGGGGATTGGGGTGAGGAGAGAAGAGAGGGGAGGAGAGCGGGGAGGAGAGAGGAGAGAGGAGAACGGAGCGGGGAAATGAGAGGGATGAGAGAGGAGGAGGAGAGGGAGGCGAGATGGAGAGTGGGTGAGGAGAGAGGAGAGGAGAGAGGCAGGCAGGCGGCATCAGAACTTGCTGCTTGACTCATGTTTGAATCAGCCTGAAACTCACCGGAGCTTAATGTCGAAGCCCAGGAACCTCAGCTCTTTCTTGCTGCCTGTATGTTCGCTCGTCAGGATCAAGGTCAGCAAAGCGAGCTCACAAGGCTGAAACTAACCGCAGCTTGATGTCGAAGCCCAGGAACCTCAGCTCTTTCTTGCTGCCTGTATGTTCGCTCGTCCGGATCGAGGTCAGCAAAGCGAGCTCACAAGGCTGAAACTCACCGCAGCTTGATGTCGAAGCCCAGGAACCTCAGCTCTTTCTTGCTGCCTGTATGTTCGCTCGTCAGGATCAAGGTCAGCAAAGCGAGCTCACAAGGCTGAAACTCACCGCAGCTTGATGTCGAAGCCCAGGAACCTCAGCTCTTTCTTGCTGCCTATATGTTCGCTCGTCAGGATCGAGGTCAGCAAAGCGAGCTCACAAGGCTGAAACTCACCGCAGCTTGATGTCGAAGCCCAGGAACCTCAGCTCTTTCTTGCTGCCTGTATGTTCGCTCGTCAGGATCAAGGTCAGCAAAGCGAGCTCACAAGGCTGAAACTCACCGCAGCTTGATGTCGAAGCCCAGGAACCTCAGCTCTTTCTTGCTGCCTATATGTTCGCTCGTCAGGATCGAGGTCAGCAAAGCGAGCTCACAAGGCTGAAACTCACCGCAGCTTGATGTCGAAGCCCAGGAACCTCAGCTCTTTCTTGCTGCCTGTATGTTCGCTCGTCAGGATCGAGGTCAGCAAAGAGAGCTCACAAGGCTGAAACTCACCGCAGCTTGATGTCGAAGCCCAGGAACCTCAGCTCTTTCTTGCTGCCTATATGTTCGCTCGTCAGGATCGAGGTCAGCAAAGCGAGCTCACAAGGCTGAAACTCACCGCAGCTTGATGTCAAAGCCCAGGAACCCGAGGTCCTTCTTGCTGCCTGTCTGCGCGCCCGGCTCGAGGTCAGCAAAGCGAGCGACGAGGCGGGACTCGAAGTGCGTGAAAGTACCCTCCTGAACGCCCTCCAGTCCCACCCGCGAGACGCTCATCAGCTTGTCGGGCTTGTTCTGGTGGCACGAGAGGGGGGGAAGAGGGGGGGAGAGGAGGGGGAGGGTGGTGAGCGTCAATGCGAGTACCCTCGTGAACCCCCACTCACAGTGAAGGACTACTAGGTTGAATCGAAACTACTAGGTTGAATCGAAACTACTAGGTTGAATCGAAACTACTAGGTTGAATCGAAAGCCCACTCACAGTGAAGGACTTGTCAAACACCTCGACGTGCAGCTTCTGCTTCTGCAGGTCAGCCACCCGCACGAGGATCTCCTCCTTGCCCCAGTCGGGGTCCAGCTCGTCCTTCTTGACTGACGTGCTGCGGCGGCCAGCGCGCGGCCGTCGATGGAGAGAAGTCAGCACGTAGGGGTTGGACTTGGCCATCATGCCACCCAGGTTCCGCAGCTTGGTGCCCTTGATGTACGTAGGGATCGGATTTCGGCCACCGTTTCACCAAGGAGAACCCCCAAATTCCTCCTCCCAACTCACCGTGAAGGACTTGTCAAACACCTCAACGTGCAGCATCTGCTTCTGAAGGTTCGCCACGCACGCCAGCAGCTCCTCCTTGCCCCAGTCGGGGTCAATGAGGAACAACTGGTGGGTCAACTCACAAGCCCACTCCACACCAAAACCCACTCACCGTGAACGACTTGTCAAACACTTCAACGTGCAGCTTCTGCTTCTGCAGGTCAGCCACCCGCACGAGGATCTCCTCCTTGCCCCAGTCGGGGTCCAGCTCGTCCTTCTTGACTGACGTGGTGCGGCGGCCCAGCGCGCGGCCGTCGATGGAGAAGCGCACGTAGGGGTCGGACTTGGCCATCATGCCACCCAGGTTGCGCAGCTTGGTGCCCTTGATGTGCGTGATCACCAGCCAGCCGATGGGGGCCCTGCGTGTGCGTGGGGGGGGGGGGGGGGGAGCAGGGAGCAGGGAAGACGAAGGGTGTGAGTGGCGGGAGAAGCACACAGCACGCAGGGGTCAGACTTGCTCATCACTCCACCCAGGTTGCGCGTCATACACACGGCTCAAGCACCTTGGGCCACATGTGTATGCTTGCTAGCTGCTGCGAGACCAATACCAAGTGGCACTCCGTGGGTTACACACACTGCTCTTCTTCTCACCATGACTCTGTGTCACCTGTTGGCACTCCCAGCGGCTGGTCGTCATACACCTCCAGCACCTTGGGCGGGCCACACGTACATGCTTGCTAGCTGCTGTGAGACCAATACCAAGTGGCACTCCGTGGGCTACACACAATGCTCTTCTTCTCACCATGACTCTGTGTCACTTGTTAGCACTCACAGTGGCTGGTCATCATACACCTCAAGCACCTTGGGCCACATGTGCATGGTTGCTAGCTGCTGTGAGACCAATACCAAGTGGCACTCCGTGGGCTACACACAATGCTCTTCTTCTCACCATGACTCTGTGTCACTTGTTAGCACTCACAGTGGCTGGTCATCATACACCTCAAGCACCTTGGGCCACATGTGCATGGTTGCTAGCTGCTGTGAGACCAATACCAAGTGGCACTCCGTGGGCTACACACAATGCTCTTCTTCTCACCATGACTCTGTGTCACTTGTTAGCACTCACAGTGGCTGGTCATCATACACCTCAAGCACCTTGGGCCACATGTGCATGGTTGCTAGCTGCTGTGAGACCAATACCAAGTGGCACTCCGTGGGTTACACACAATGCTCTTCTTCTCACCATGACTTTGTGTCACTTGTTGGCGCTCACAACGGCTGGTCCTCGTAGACCTCCAGCACCTTGGGCCACATGTACATTCTGGCTGCTGTGATGCGAGACCCGTTCATTGGACCCTTCCCCATTCATTTTCACTGTGCTGTGCTGTGCTGTAATCCCACGGCACTCACAGCGGCTGGTCGTCATAAACCTCGAGCACCTTGGGCCACATGTACATGCTTGCCACCGTGTTGCCGATGGTCTTCTGCTCAAGAGATTT